CCTGCCCTTCAGCCCCGAGGCCCTGGTGGACCGCAAGGAGTTCTGGGCCGTGTGCCGCGTGCCCGGGCCCCTGCACAGCGGCGACATCCTGGGCCTGGTGGTCAACGCTGACGGCGAGCTGCACCTCAGCCACAATGGCGCGGCGGCAGGCATGCAGCTGTGCGTGGACGCCTCGCAACCGCTCTGGATGCTCTTCGGCCTGCACGGGGCTGTCACGCAGATCCGCATCCTCGGTGAGTGCTCCCCGCCAGGTGCCGGCCTCCCCCGACCCACGCCGAGGCTCGTGCCTCAGCTGCCCTTCCTCCAGACCCAGTGAGGTACTTTTCCTGGAGGAGGGTACCAGTCTGGGGAGGGGGGAAAGAACGCCCACCCTGCCCCCTCGTGGGAGTCTAGCTAAGGAGACAAAGACACCAAAGATGAGTTGTGAGTGGGATTCAGTTGGCTAGTCTACGCGTCCTCAGAGCTAACCAGATAAACCCTGGGAAGGGGGAGAAAAGCGTGGAACATTGAGTTCCACTCTGATTAACTTACATTCCCACAGATACATAAACAACTCTTACACACATTCTCCAGTGGCCACTTAAAAGTGAGAGAAAAAAAAACTGTTTCCACCAGCAGTGAACTTTTTGAGGCTCAGTTTCCATTTCTCCAAAAATGGGAATAAAGGCCTCTGCCTCTAAGGATAGTTGTGTGTCTGAATAAGAAAAAGAGGTTGGTATGTCAGTAGCCAAGTTACCTCTGTAGGGTGGTGCCTGGGTTGGGGCCTGTGCGGAATCCCTGAGCAGAAGGCCTTGGAGGAAATGGGATTGCGGATGTCTAGACCTTTCTGGGTTTGAATGGACAGAGTTTGATGGACTGGGTGATGTGGACTTGTGTAAGCCATGTTTCCCAGAGTATCCTGCACGGTGGGTGTCCATTGAAAAGAGGTCCTTGGATCAAAAAAGTTTGGGATATGCTGAATTTTTAAAAAACAGGGAATTCTTTACTATAGAACTTCTCAGAACTTTTAATACGCAGTGTGAATCTTTAATGAAAGGGTGGTGGTGGTTATGGTGTCCAGCTTTTACAGACTGATCTGACCAGAAATCTTTTTCACATGTATCTTCTGGGACCTCTGTTACCCCAGAGTGGGCAGGTATTCATGCTTTCCAAGTGATAGTCTGCTAACCAGAGCAGTGGATTGGGCTAATTTCATTAGACTTACTAGGAGACCCTACTAGAGTACAGATTCTTAAATCCCACCTCCAGAGATTTCAATTCTGTAGATCTTGGATTAGGTCCTGGGCATCTTTTTTTTTTCTTAAAGCAAGTTTGCTTAGACAAGTTTGCAGACCCCTAGGCCTCACAGCTCCCCAAACTAGACCTCACCCCAGGAGGTTTCATAGGCAAGATGACGTGTGTATGTGAATGAATGTGAGTTGACGGTATAAAATTGGCATACTGTGTCTAGGCACATGTGAGGAACTAAATGCATGTGTATTTGTGTATGTAATGTTGGTGATTGGAAGAGTGTGTAACTTTGTGAAATGAGAAAAAGCCAGTGGGGACTGACTGACTACTCTGGGAAGAAACCAAATGAAGATGGAATGTAAAATAAATTTTAAAAAGAATGAAAAGAAATGAGGCTAGGATGTTAAGAAGTTAGGACTGAGGGAAGATAAATCAAAGAATGAAAAGAAATCAGGCTAATGAAAAGACATCAGGAAGGAAAGATATTGGGGTGAAAATTCAGGTTGGAATAAAAAAGAAACTGGACTGGGGTGCAGAAAAAAAATCAGGCTGAGGTACACAGGTATTCAGCTACATTCACCAGGAGACACTACTCCTCAGATGAAGGAAATTATGTAAGGGCAAGGTATTCTCTTGCCTCAGCACCATCTAATAATAGATAAGTAGCTTTCCTGTGAGGCTTCCATTGCCCAAAGAGGCTTACTAGACTGGAGCAAAGGAGAAGCTTAAAAAAAAAAATCCAGGACTTAAATGTCCCAAAAGGGAAGTAGGCCAAGGTGGGTGTTGAAGAATAATCATTTAGAATTCAATATATGCTAAATAGAATTCTCCTGAGCTGTTTCGAGAATTAGCCTTCTCAACTAGCAAATTGGTGTTATGGGATCCTGACTGATTGATTCCAAAGGAAAAACAAATCAGTAATAATATATGAAGGGTAATTCTTTACCTTACAGAGGAATGCTTTGCTTTGTTGAAGGCCTACATGATCTAAGAATGGAAAGGTACTTCCTTCACTCTAAAACTACAGCCAATTTCATACTTAATGGTGAAACACTAGAAAAATTCTCATTAAAGTCAGGAGTATAATAGAGATGCCTTATAGTATTGTTCTGAAAGTGCTAGCTAGTGCAGTAAGTGAAGAAAATAAAATAGGAGATATGAATTTCTGAAAGAGATGATAATTAACGTGATACCTATTAACACTAATAAGAAAAGTCCTGAGACATCTAATGAATACTTTTAGAAACAGTGACTATTAAACGAATTAGAATGAATAACTACTAATAAAAAATACCTCATTGAGGACTTACTTGTGTGTAGGGCATTATGTTAGGGCCTGTGGAGAGTCACAGGTGAATCAGATTTCCTGATTCATGGTTTAAATAGGGAAACAAAGCTGTATTCCTGGGCAGAGAACGAATAATACTCAAGCTTTCTCCCACGTGGGGCCTCTGAGTGGCTAGTGTGTCCTTCCCTCTCTCCCTCCCTGCCTTTCTGCAGGCTCCACCATTCTGGCAGAGCGGGGCATCCCATCACTCCCCTGCTCCCCTTCTTCCACACCAACCTCGCCCAGCACCCTGGGCATCCGCCTCTCTGACCCACTGCTCAGCACGTGCAGCTCTGGACCGCTGGGTAGCTCTGCTGGTGGTAAGTAGGCTGGCCCCTTCAGTTCCGTGGTGACCATACCAGATCTCCTACCCTGAGGACCCCACCCCCACCCCCACCCCAGCTGAGGCAGGCTTGCAGCCTCTGTATCAGGACTACTGGGCCCCAGAGGAGCTGGAGACAGGCCTAGTGAACCTTAGGTGAGTGGTGATTTCTGGGCTGTATCCTATCCTGTACCCTAGCTGGGCAGCTTTCTCCAAAGGACTTCTTCAGCACAAAGAACACCAAAGGATAGCTCAGGAGAGGCCTTCCTCAAATGGTTTTGGGCCCCCTTCCTTCCTGCATCCTTCCCTCCTCCTCCTCTCACTGCCTCACTGACACCCTGGCCCCTGGTCTGGGCACTGAGGGGACAGGAGTGGGCTGCCCAGAGTGCATCCTCTTCCCTCTGGTGCTCGGGAAGTTGAGTACTAGGGCAGACAGGCTGATCCTGAAAAATGGAGGGAGGCAGGCCATGTGCTCTCTTCCCAAGAACCAGGGACCAGGCTGGGCCATGTCGCCCTGTGACTGGTGTCCTCTTGACCCCAGGGACAGCCCCCAACTCACCGGTGAGCCTGCCCGAGTCGCCAGTGACTCCCGGTGCGGGCCCATGGAGTGATGAGTGCACCATTTGCTATGAACACGCGGTGGACACGGTCATCTACACATGTGGCCACATGTGCCTCTGCTACGCCTGCGGCCTGCGCCTCAAGAAGGCTCTGCACGCCTGCTGTCCCATCTGCCGCCGCCCCATCAAGGACATCATCAAGACCTATCGCAGCTCCTAGCGCGTCTTGGTACCCAACCCCACACACCCACCTCCTGGGACTCCGGCCCAGCTCCAGCTGAGGGGCAAGTCAATAGGGCCCCTTCTCTTCTTCCTCATTTTGGAAACTCTTTTCCCTTCTCATTAAACGTGAGAACTGGGCCCCTAAAGGTATGGGGAGAAAAGGGGTATCAGGCAGGGAGATGAGGGCAGAAGCAAGTCGCCTGCTCTCCTCTGCACGCTGAGGGCTAAATGGGGTTTCAGCCTCTCCTGATCCTTCCCTATCGGGTAGATTCCCAGGAAGTCCCTTTAGCTCATGTGGCACCTTTGTGAGAATTAGAAAGTGTGTTCCTTTCTCCGGGCAGTTGTGGCCCTGAGCCTGAACATGTGGCTTGGCTAGTGGAGTATGGACTTGGACCTCAGCCTCCATTTTCTCCCTCAGCCAACTGCCCTTGAGCAGTGCACAACCTGTGCAACAGCAGCTCTGGGCATGCAGCTTCTGAGTTGTCGCCTTACTGTCTGACCTACACCTACCCTTTCCTTCCTCTTTTCCCTGCCCCTTGGGTTTGGCAGCCAGGGGTGAGAAGGCCAGTGGATACCTCTCTTCCTGGGCAGGCTGCAGCCTCCATGCCATGTCCTTCTCCTACTCACCCTGGATGGGTGGACACAGGCCCCAGAAGCCTACAGGTTCTGGGTCCCTAGCCCTCTGGCCTGTTTGAGATGTGGAAGGCCCTTTCCTGGCCATAGCCCTTCTGCCCCAATCATCTCGCTGGACACTGCTGCCCAGGGGTAGCCCCCTGGTTTGGGCTAGAGAGCAGGGTGTCTCGTCTGTCAGGTCTAAAGATCAGGTTTGTAGCTACCCTCTGACCTCTCCTCTCATGTTTCAGTGCTGTCCTGGGCCTGGCTGATCCTCGTGGAAACTGTAGCATCCCCTGGAGGGACCAGGGCCCTGGGTTGGGGGTAGAGGGGTTCCCTGGAGTAAGAACAGCTTTTCCCCTTTATTTATTTATTTATTGGGTTTACAGGGGTTATTTGGGGAAGGGGGGTGAACTCCCATTCCCCAGACCCCTAGAAATGCTGCCCTCGTAGGCAGGGTGCCTCATTGGAGGGGTTAGCAGTGGTAGTCATCACTCAGAATCTTCCCCAGACTCCAGCCCAAAAGTCCACAGACAGCTCTGCTTACCATGAAATAGAACTCCTTAAGAAGGGGCTGAATTGGGAGGCCCTCTGGCAAATTGTGTCTGTTTTATAGAGAGGGCAACACAGCCTCCGCAATGCTCTAGGGCCGGTGGATCACCCAGAGCCACAAAAGCAGGGTTATCTTAATTGACTCTTGTACATCAGGAGGCCCAGGAGCTCCCATCTCCGCAAGGACATACAATGTCCTGAGCAGGCGGAGGGAGGGGAGCCCAGCTGGCCTAGTCACTGTAGGCACAGGGAGCCTGTTCTTAGGAAAGGCTATCCACTCCCAGGAACGATGAGAAGGAAGGGGCTGCGTCCCAGCACCTCTAGCTTCTTATTCTTGATTCTGGGGTGTGGGAGTGCCCCCCAGCTGCTCTTAGGTCATAGTCATCTCAGCCCTGCACGCCCTGTCCTGACAGGCCACGGGCTGGGGTCAGCTCTCTGAGTCCTGGCCTCCCCCTAGCCTCCCAGCCCTCTGCCCCTTAGATGGCTTTTTTATGCCGACTGGTGCCTGCTTTGCCATGTGGCTGGCAGAGCATTGGATTCTAGACCTGGCCACTGACCAGTTGTGTGGCTCCGGCCAGGTCGTAGCCTCTCAGCCTCAGCTGTCACCTCTGTAAAATGACTTGGGGGTGGGGAGCAGACTTTCTGTATGACTCTAGGGAGTTCTTTGGTGACGGCTGCAGTGGGGTGGTGGTGGTGGGACAGCACAGGGGGTCGGGATGCCAGGCTGGCGCTGTTTGAACCTGCTTTGCAGTGGGCCTTTGGGAAGTCATGGTTCTACTCTGGGTGTCTAATCCCTAGTCACTGAGCTTGTGGACCCCTTCTGTGGGAGTTGGGTGAGGTGGGGCTGGTGGTAGCCCCATCCAGTCAAGGTTCCCATCTGAGAGGCAGGAAAAGTCCTTAAGTGCAGGGGCTGCGTGGCCTGAGGGTCAGGGAGAGGAAGCCATCCATCTCATTGTCTCTGTTAGTGTAGGGGGGTAGCTGCTGCCTCCTTTGTGAACTTGGGTCACCGTGATTGTGAATAAAGGTGATTTCGTACCAGCCTGAGGGCTGTGCTGTGCAGCGTGGAGGGCTAGGGAGGGCTGGTGGGTGGGAGGGTGTGTGTCTGGTGGAGACTCAGTTGTTCTGGATATGGAGGGGAGTCAACAATCAGAAGACTCCCCGGAGTGAGAGAGGGGGCAGTGGCTGGAGCTTGACCTGGGGCTTAGGCAGCAGGGGCTGGAATGCCAGGTGAACCTTGCAAGCTGAAAGGGAGCAGCCACTGCCCTTTGGTGGTGGTGTCCCCAGGTCTGTGAGGAGCAGGGGTGGTCCATGAGGCCTGCTCCTGTGACCTTTGTGGAGGGGCAGCGCCACCTAGGGACTGAAGAGAGGATGGCAGGTCCTCCACTCGGGTCAGCAGAGGCTGTCCATCCCGTACATAAGCCCAGACCCCTGCCTCTGTCTGGGAACTCAGCTGTGCTCCCACTGGTGGGTGCAGAGGCTTATCCCAGATGGGTGGCACAGCAAGGGAGGCCTCTGGCAGGGACCTTTGGAGAAACTTTCTAAATGTGCTGAGTACATCTAGGGGGCTACAGAAGCTGGGAGTGGTGGAGGGGGTCCGGGTACAACATGGGAATTGAGCTCATTTGGCAGGATGGCCCTCAGAGGCACATGGGATGCCTTCCTTGTTGCCCTCTCTCCTGGGAGCATGCTCTAGCTGCCCAGCCTCTGCCTGGCCTTGAACGGCCATGGGCTACTCCCCATACCAGGACTGCCCAGCCCTTCCCTGCTTACTGGAGTCTAGCAAAAGTAGGGGAGGGGCTGGGGCTCCAAGCTGAGGGACCATGTAGACCGCTGGATGTGGGTCTTTGGCCCCAAGATCTGCATCTCTCTCTCAAAGCCTTGGCCACTGCCCAGAAAGCCTTGCAAAGGTGGAGAAGGTGGAGGAGCTTGAGCACGCTTCTCACCAGCTGCGGGAACTTACCTGCTTCCCCCCACCCCTCCAGTGTCTGCAGAGGGCCCTGGATCCTGCAGTTCACGCTGCACTTGAGATAATGTGGCTTTTGCCATTCAGCTGGATGAATTTTCTGGTGGCAGGGAGAATCAGGAGATGACTCTGTTCAGTTAAAAAGGCCAGAAACTTTATTTAGTTTTCAGGGAAATACAAGATGCTTGTAAACATAAACAAAATACAAAACAAAACAACCCAAATTTTACAGTCTGGAAGCATGCCAAGACAGAGTATTTTCTGCAGACCAAAGAGTCCCGTCAAAATCATAAAGGACACCTGGAAAGTGGCAGGTCAAGGGGCTGGGTCCCTTCCCCAAGGACACTGCATTTTTTTGTGATGAGAACAATTAAAAAAAAACACTATTAAAAATACTAAAAACATGGAGTCAGTTTAGCACCACCATTGATCCTGGAAATTTTTTAGCACATTTTCAAATTGCACTGAATTCAATGTCCTTTTCTTCAGTTTCTCTGCTGAGCGGGGACGAGGGAACACCTCCTTTGGACCCCACAGACTAGGCGCTGGGAGGGGTTGAGTGGACACAGTGCGGAACGCCCCAGACATCCAGCAGTTCACGTGCACCATGCAGTCCACAAACCCATGCTTCATGAACCTTCCACTCACATCTGCCTTGCTTAGAAGTCACCTTCCTGCAGACCTCCCATAACTGGCAGTGAAACCCCTTTCCTATCCTGTGTCCTGGATTTAAAAACCTGTTGCAGAGAACAAGTTACAGATTCAAGAATGGTGGCTCTGGTTTACCCTTCTTTTTCTGAAACACTAAAAGCAGTATACCTTGGTCACAGGCCACTAAAAATGGTGAGTGTGCATTGCACCCCATCTTCTAAGTCACACTAGTGAGGCAGGGCTCAGCAAACTGAACAACCACAGGCATCATCAGAGATACTCAAGAATAACTGGTGTCAACAGAAGAGCAAATGAGGTTTCTTTCCTCCCAGATACACCTGATGGTGTCTGGACCCCGAGGATCCGGGGGTGGGTGGTGGGTCCCTCCTGCATGATTCATTACGGTCACTGGTCTCTGATTCAAGCACTTCAAGAGACTAGCTCTGATTGGACAAAGGCAGGTGGGCAAAACCAGCCTGGAAACTGGGAGATGGATGACTGTTCTAGAGCCAGGGCCTCCAAACTCAAAGATTGGTTTGTTACCGGCAACTTCCCTCTCCACTGAGTAAATCAATGACCATTAAGAACCTCTCAGGGACCCAACCTGTGGCCCAACAAGTAATTGTTTCCTCAGGCCAGCTTATTCTACAGCCAAATCTCGGGGCTTTTCCAACCTGCTCTGGTGGGACCCTTGGATGTTGAATCACTAAATTCCCTTGCTACCTGCTGTCTTCTTCCTGAAACATTCAGAATTGACTTCTTCCTCCTTTCTAATAAAGACACAATTCCAGACTCCAAGCCCTCTGTCAACCTTCTCACACTTTTCCCTTTCTGCCTAGAAGACATCCTCTTCCGGAAGCCACTTCCCAGGGAAGGGAAGCCCCAGCCACCCCAAACACGCATGCACCCATCTCACCGACGTGCCTCTCACTCACTTCCAACATGCTCGATCCATACTTTTGCTTTAAAACAACAATTCTTCCTTCCTTCCTTTCTCTCACTCTCTTGCCTCCTGAGATCCAGCCCATTAGCCAGGGTAGAAATGGGAGCAAAGGAGGGAACTTCATCTCAGGGACTCATTCTCTAAGGCCACTAAGTTCTGGGATGGGAGAAGGGGCTGATTGTCTGGGTGAAGTACAAACTCAAGATTAAAAAGATAGGGTCGGGGAAAGGGGATTGCAGGGTAAAACCAACTTTATAGGCAGGTTGGGATCAAGCCCTTGGAAGGCAGAGTCCTGCACTCAGTCTGTAAGCACCAAAGTGCCCAACTTCTGGCCTGGGGACCCAGGTACATGGGACAAAACAGGAGGGATGCTAGTATCAGTGGGTTTGTTCTTCCTGAAATGAAGCTATGTCTCTGACCCTGTTCTGTCACTGCTCTGATCAAAGAGCTCGACAACCACAGAGCCCACCCCAGACAGGGATTGTGATTTAGGTAAAAAACTCAGTAATGTCAAGGGGGAGCCCTGCACACGATTCCTGTGACGAGTTCAGTCGGGGCCTGCAGTCTAGACCAGAAGAGGTGATGGTGCACAGGCAGGTCTGCTGAGCTCCCCATGACCAAGTTCCCACCCTGACCCGCCTGACCCGCCCTCAGACACACAAGAACTGAGGGCCAGCAGCTCCCGTGCCACGGGGATCCCCGCAGTGGTGACACGCACGGCAGAGGCTGGGAGGTAGCCTGCTAGACACACGTGTGTGGGCAGGTGACCCAGTGTAACCACCTCAGCACGTCCACACCCAGCGGCATTGCTTCCACATCTTCATTTTGGAACCTGGGACGATGGCCTGGGCTGCTTCTGCTAGATCTGTTAATGCCAGTGTGAAGTTTCCAACTAAATACTTAATAAAATAATAACAACAACAAAAAAAGACACATTGCACTCTCCAGCCAGAATTACGCGTGTGAATAACACATACAATTGCTGCCAGAAGCTGAGTCCCGTGGGGCCTGCCCAATGCCAAGGACTTGTTCAATGGAGACAGCTTGCCCAGTATTTTTTTCTCTAACCCCATGTTATTTAGTCCAAGTGGGAAATTACCAACACTCGCACGTGTGCACACGTGTGCACAAGCACAACACACACTTCAACAACACACAGCCCTCAAAAAAGTGAGGGAATCTTAATTCTTTAGCAATGTGGATGATTCTCTTTCCACAGAGCTCTGCAATAAGGTTCTCAAAGATTTGGACACATAGATGTATACACTCCAAGGAGAGACACCCACACACACAGGGGCACAGTCCCGCTCTGGGCACGCAGATTCGTATTTGTACAGAAATTCACCAAATGGGTTGGAGCAGCAAGCGTACAGTACTGGAGGTGGAGGGGACAAGCCAGTAAGGATGTCCCTGTTGCCCTGACGGGCAGAGCTCCAACGGCTTGGACCCAGAGACTTCCCATCCTGTTGCTCTCTCTACCGGTACCCAGTTAAGAGGTGGTGGTTTGGTACCTGTTGTGGGCAGCTCTGTCTGCAGGGACCTCAGCGGGCTCCTCTGATGCTTCTCTGAGACCTTGTGAGGACTGTCGGGGTGTTGAGCAGACACAGGGCTCACACCTCAGGCTGAAGTCATTGAGATGAACGGGTGGCCCCGGCTCAGCGCCAGGCCCAGCTGCAGGCTTGTGGGAACTGCTGTGTCACTGGGGATGTCAGGCTCGAGGCACCCACATCCCCCCAAAAAGGATTTGGTTATATCTAGGGTTCCTGCCCATAAACTGCACTTGAGGTTATATAGTTTTAAGAAAACTCAAACATACACCAGAAAGATCATGACCCAAACATCAGGAGGCTGGGGTGAGAGAGGGCTGCTGAGGGTGATTTTCAGGACAGGTCTTTCTGAGCAGCTGGCTGAAAAACAACAGAAATGAAAACACGGAATGGTTCCTGGAGATCCTTGCTCTGTGCCGAGGGCTGGGGCTCTGGAAGGCCAAGCGCCCCATGCCGCTTCCCTGAATCCCTTTCTTGTGGGTGGATGACACCCAGCAAAAGGGGCTGCCCTCTGGCAGGGACCTCTGCCATCTTGCCAGAGAAGAGGGAGGGGGAGGGAGGAGTAAAACATCAATACCCAGGTCACCTGTCGGCTCCACAGCTCTGACTCCTCCAAGCAGCCCCACCTCCCCTGGCGACAGACCAGGCCTCCCGCCACTGTCCCAGCAAGCCCTGGCATCCCTCTGATAATATTGCACTTTTCCTGTCTCTCAGATTGTTTTCATTTTCGATTGAGAATGCAAAGTATTTGGGGGGGAGTGAGTAACCTTAAAGAAACAATATATTAGTTAAATACAAAAACAGGAAAAGTAGGGATTACTTTATCTTCTTTTTTTCCTTAAAAACAAAACAAACTACCAAACCAAGGTCTAAACTTAAATAGTTCTACACCTACTCTGCAAATACTAGTAATATGAAAATAATGCTTGACTGAAATTCCCTTGTCTTTTTTCCTTAGATGATAAAAGTAGTAACATGCCTTGCTGAGGAAAGCAACGGATATAAACGCCAGTAAAATACGCTGCTCTAACATCTGAAAGTGATTAAAACGATTCTATATAATGCCTTCGTCAAGATGGAGAATGGAGGAGGAAGACAGAGGAGCCTGTGGGGCCAGGCTGGGGGTAGATGCAGCCAAGGGCTGGTGAAGAGGGTCTGGCCACAGCTGGGGCAGATGGCACACCCACTGTTCAGCTTGTCCCTTCTGGCTCCCTCTTGCTGCCTCCAGGGTCCCTTGGCCTAGTGGGAACAGTATGGTGGGGCCAGGGAGCCCAGCCAGGCCCCTGTTAACAAGTGGGAGAGAGATGAAGACATTTTTTTCCCCTTGTAATAAAAGAAAAAAGTCTTTAAACTGAAAGAAAAAGCACCAAATGATGCATCTTCGGGCATTATATAAACTTCAATAATGACCTCAGAAGGGCTCATTATGATTAAAGTTGCAGTATACAGCAATACAACGTCATTTCACATTTTCAATCGCAACTAATGGAAAACTAAGTTTGGACACTGCTGAGATTTCATTTTTCTTTTTCCTTTTTTAGTCCAATCTGGTTTTCCTCCAGGTGGGTCAGAGCCACAGGCCCCTCCCTCCTCCACCTGCTGCCAGCAGTACCCTCCAACATCACAAAGCAGCTCAGTAGCTCTAGGGAAAAGCCTTCTTGCCCTGGGCACGGCTAGGAGTCCAGGGGCACAAGGCCTGGCATCCCCTGGCCATGTTTGAGAGGGACTGGCATGCACCCTTCTTGCTTCAAGTATTAATATTCTCTTTGGGTTTGCAGGGTTTGTGCTGTGCTGTGAATTAGGGGGTGATGGGAAGGGCGAGGGGCGAAGACGGGGCACGGCAATCCCTGTTCATTGCCCAAATCTACACGCTGTCACCAGGTGGCAGCATTCCCCACTTTTCCTGGATGCCTGAGCAACTCCCAGCCATCCTTGGGCTGGTTGTCTCAATGTAAACATGATGACCACACAATAAACTCTAATGAGGGGGGTGGGAGAGTGGGGAGGAGTGCAGGGAGGGAGGCAGGGGGAAGTCTGCCATTAACTAGCTATGTGATTTGGGGGAAGCTAATTCCTGTCTTTGGGCTGCAGTAACAGGAGGGGATGGGATGGAGTGACCTTGGAGAGATGGTCCTTGGAGGCGGGTGGGGAGCTGGGAGAACACAGGCCTCATGGGTGGTAGAGAGCCCCACGGGGCGGTACAGACACTGAGGAAAGGCAGGGAAAGACAGGCCCTGGGGAGCACTGTGGTCCAGTCCGACTGAGATGCTCTGTGCTTGGCAGATGCGTCCTGCACTCCTTCCTGGCCTGGCTGGCATGTTACTGTTTGAACTGGCTCAGTGCAGACATTGAGGAGTGAGGCCGCTGGGGCCCTCCCCCTGGAAGATAGCTACGTGGAAGGTCCTTTAACCTGACAGTCACTCTACTTTTAAATTTTATTTTAAATAATCATAAATTATTTTTTTTAATAAATAATGTGCTGCTTAAAAATGAGAAAAGTATATACTGCATCTTTAAGTAATGCACTTTGCTCTGGGTTTCTTTCCACTCCACCTTATTAAAGTGCATTAATTAAAAAATAATGAACCACTTCTTTATCATTATTGTTCAAATAAGTCCAAATAATATTACTATGAAGACACTACACCACTACCATTAGTACTGCAATCTAGCAGATTAACTCAACATCCTGCTCTATTTAATACTGTCCAGCAGAAGAAAAGAACTAATTTCAATTTTAAACAAACTCACAAACAAAACAAAAGGAAGCAAAATCTCACCACGGCCCTTCCAACAAAGAACAGGAGCAGTTTGCTGAGCTGCCAGGCATCAGTACTGCGAGGGAGGAGGGATGAGGGCGCAAGATGGTCCCGTACTGCTCTTCAGGCAACAGACACTGCCTGGGTGGGGAGCAGGGGTGGAGGAAGGTCCCTTCGTCCTCAGTCCAGGATCTGGCAGCTGAATCAGCGGCTGTGAAGCCGGATCTGTCTGCAATCAAAGGCACGTGTGGAAATCCACTCCCAGCGAAGGGTGAGTCCTTGGGGAGGCCGCTTTGGCCTCTTGAAACATCAGCGATTGAAAGACACCACCCAGAGTTGATGGGGACTTTATTCTCTCCCTTCTCTCTTCACAGGGGCACTGCCCCTCGAGAAGACCAGGTCGGCTCCTGGCCCAGGGATCTTTGTCTTCTCAGGTGCCTGCAGCATCACTTGCAGGCCAGGGGGTGGCTGGTGGTATCTGCCCAGTGGGGTCCCTCGGCCCAGGGTCGGGGTGACAGCTGCTTCTCCACAGGCCACGCGTATTCGGGTCCTGCCCAGGCAAGAGAACGAATGCTGCCCCTCTCCTGAACACCACGCCCCTCCCCGGGGAGGGCTTTACCCTAATGAGGTTGGGCAAGGACCAGGAGAGCAGCGTTTCCACTTTGCCACGCCTGGGACCAGGGCTTCTCCAGCCTGAAATCCCTCCGGCAAGTGCCAAGATCTGGTACTGTCTACACAGTGGAAACCAAATGAAGCGACTTTGGATTGTGGAGAGGGAAAACACAAAACAAACCAATCTCTCCACAAGAGTACGACAGAAAGGCCATCCACCACCCATCCCATCCCATGAGGCTGACCGCCCTTGGGCCCCCAAACCACCCCTAAAATAAGACCAAAACCCTAGGCCCGACAGAGAAGCCCCAAAGCAATACACCTCTCCCGAAACATGCAAAGGAACTGCCCACCCAGAAATACCTAAAATAAAGTCTGTGCAGACTATGAAAAGACCGACGGCTCTGCCCACCCCCTCTGTAAACCCCGGGGGGTGGTGGTCCTCCACCAGGCTGTCCCAGGCAGGGCGGCTGGCTTCCCAAGGCCAGCTGCAGTGATGGCTAAGAAAGGCGGTCCTTGCTGGCACCGGGGAAACTGCCTTTTCTTCAGTTGGCCCTGGGACAGCCTGAGCTCACAGGGGATGCGTCTGAGCCCCAGGGCCAGTGGTGTCTCTGACCACACCCACCCGTGGCAGGTGGCAGTAATCCCTGGGAAACTAGAGTAATTCACGAACACAGATTAGGATGATACAAGTGCTACCTCCGGGGGCAACATGCCAGCAGCTGAAACCAGGCTAAGCAGAAGCAGGGCACAGGAGGCCCCCACAACCACATATTTTCCAGATTTGCAGCCAAGGCACAAAATAGGGTTTCCCACACGGCCTGTCCCAAATGGCGCCAAGTCCGTCAGCAAAGCCCCCAAGGTGCACATGTGGGGCTCAGCTTTCTTGCCTCTGGTCCCAGGCTTCCCCTGCCCATTCCCCTCCCTGCTTATTGTGGGCACCCCTCCCTGCCCCAGACCCTTTCAGCTGGGGGACAGCCTGGAGGGGTGCATCTTTGAGGTCACACATTCTACAGGTTTAATGTTGTCCTCCCCCACCCCCTCCCATTTTCCCTTTCCCTTTGTCTTATCTCGCAGCTCACCCACACTAAGGCTGGAAGGACCCACGGCCCCCATTAGTTCTTCTTCTCTAGGTAGTTGGAGGGCACCCAGCCTTTGAAGGGCTTCACCCCATCCAGGATCTGGCAGTACCACCAGCCATTGGGGTTCCTCTCCAGGACCTCCATGGACACGCCCTCCTGAAAGCCCGCTGTCTCCTCATCCCCCTCGTAGTCTGCGATCGAGACGTACACATCTTTGAGGTTGTTGTGGATGAACTGGGACTTCTCAATGGGCTTGGGGCGCACGGGGGACACGGGGATGCCGTTGCGCTGGGTGGGCAGGATAGGGGTGTCTGAGCCCTGGCTGGCGGCCCGTTCGGCCAGGCGGCCCTTGGCCTCTGCAGCTGCTGAGCGGGCAGTGCTGAAGGAGGAGTTCCGGCGGACGCCTCGCAGGCTGTCGGTGGCTGTCAGCGACTCGTTCCTCCGTAGGGCACAGGACAGGTTGCTGTCCTTGGGTGGTGGGGACACAAACACCGACTGGGGCCTCACTGCCACCTGCCGCACACCATTCCTCATCTTCACCGCCCCGGCACCCGAGGTCTTGACAAAGCCCCCAGGAGGCTTGGAGGGGATGGGTGGTGTGGCCCTCTTATTTTGGTTGACGGTGTTCAGCGCTTGGACCCGCTTCTCGATCTTTTCCAGGCTGTCTGACTTGCCCTCATTCTGCTTGCTCCTGGCAGTTACTGTATCCAGCTCTTTGCCTGGGGGGTCGGGTTGCTCGTTTTCGCCAAGCACCAAGTAGTGGGAGGGGGCCCAGCCCTCCAGCTCTCCAAACCTCACATACCACCAGCCGCTTTCCAGCTTCTCAAGCACCTGCACCTCCACGCCTGCGGGGAAGCTGATCTCTGAGTCCTGGACCTTCTGGTAGGCACTACATGTCGTGTAGGAGGTGGCCTGCCCTTCCTGCCCCTTCTTGGTGGAACACGACGGGGTGGCAGCTGGGAGGGTGATGAGGTCGGCCGAGCCTCTCCTGGACCCCTCACTGGGGCCCTCGAAGGCTGTCTGGGGGGGCAGTTCCGAATCTTCGCTCTTGGAGCCCTTGAGGCCACCCCGGAGCTGACCCGTGGGCCTCAGCTGGCGCCGTAAAGTGCTGATATCCATCTTCTCTTGACTCTGGGACTCTGCGCGGTTCAGGAAGGGCTTGGGCCGAACTGATGGCTTGGCCCGGGCACAGGAGGTCAGCCCAGCCTTCAGGTCAGTGTCCTTCTTCACCCCAACCTTAGGAGTGCCGCGGATTCCCGCATCCGAGGCAGAACGGGGCTTCAGGTCCCCACTGTTCTTGGACAAGGATGAGGAGGAAGAGGAGGAGGAGGAGGAACAGGTGGTGTTGATGGTGATGGATGAAGAAAAGGAGGCTGAGGAGTGGTTCTTCCCCAATTCTGCCTGGGCATTCTTCTCTGCTTTGAGCTTTAGGAGTGATGACGATTTGGGGGAGCCTGATTTGGGGGAGTTTTTCCTGGCAAGGGACAGCGGGGAGCCGCCTGGAGAGTCACTGTCACGGGAGGAGCGTCTGGCTGATAGGGCATCCTCTGCACACGGCCGGAAGCCCTCGTTCTCATAGATGGTCTCTTCCTCCAGGGCCACGTCCTCAGCAGACCCACCCACCTTGAAGTGGGCACGCTGCAACGAGGAGGCGGGCGAGGGCCTGTGGGGCTGGGCTGGCCGCCTGTCCCCCGAGCCACCATCTTCTGCAGGCTCCTCGCTCAGCTCTGGCTCTGAGTCAAAGCCAAAGGCAGGGATGTCATACTCAGGCTCCTCGTACTTGAACCTCAGCGGAGACTCCTGGCTCTCGCCAGCGCCCACTGGACCCTCCTCGGCCTCCTTGGGCTTGCTGGGTGGCGCCGGCGGGGGCACCTTGGGCCGTGTTAGGGTGCTCGTGCGGCGGCTCAGGTTGGGCTTCTTGCGCTTATCAATGTACGACGCCGGGGCCCAGCCCTCCTTCTCACCGATCTGCACATACCACCAGCCACCTGAGTTCTTGTCGATGACCTAGGGAGAAGGGGCGGACAGGCCAGTGAGCTGGGAGGATCGCTGTGGCCCTAAGATGTGCTAGGCTAGGAGCTTCATACTTTGGCTCTAGGAGACATTATCTCCATTTCACAGATGAGCAAACTGAGCTGGGACCTAAATTAGTAAGTGATGGGTTCTATCATCTCCTGGATGGGGAGAGCTCCCACTCTCCAAGGGCCACCCTCCAGCTCCTCCAAGTCAACACCCTGGTCAAGCTAGTCTTCATTACAGATCCTCACTTCTCCTCCTGCTGAGCTAATACACTTAGAAGATACACTGTTCCCAGTCCCTACAAAACCCAACTCGCCATGGACCCATGTGTACAAAAGACTGCCATTCTACCACTGCCATCCTTGTTTCACTCCCATATTGCTAGGTCCTCCCTCAGTGACCCCGGAAAGGGTCTCTCAGGTCAGAAGAGAACAGGAGGGTGCAGGTGAGTGGAACTGGGAGGTAAGGCCTAAGGCCAGAGCCTCTCTGGTTTGCCCACTGCCTGTGGTTACTTCATAACATGTGGGATCCCACTGAAATCCCACTAGCTGAAGAAATTTCTTTGGAATGGTTTCCAGTGGAATGGAAAGCTTTCAGTCATTTCCATGTTAGTATAAACTAGTTCAAGGAGCTGCCTTCTTAACTTCAATTTGAGATTGGCTAAAGGCTATGAGTGTGGTTGCTGGTTGTTCTGAGGTCCATTTGGGTTAGGGAACATAAATGGAAGATGCAGTTGGCCCTCCATGGTGGCAGGTTGTATATCCATGGATACGGAGGGCTGACTGAATTGTGCCATCTTATATAAGGATCTTGAGCATCCCGGGATTTTGGTAACTCTTGGGGATCATGGAACCAATTCCCCACAGATACCAAGGGACAACTGTAATTTTGGACTGTGGAACATTCCTAGAGGAAGAGGTCCCAGGGAGGAGAAGGGAAGCACAAAAACATTAGCACTGGGGGAAGTGGGGCGAAGGAGGGAGGATAGAAAGAGACTACCAAAGGCAAGCCCTGTGTGAGGCCAGCCCTCTGCAGCCCCCATCCTTCCTTTTGTCCTATATTCCATCCTTCGCTCTGCCCACTCCGTACTCAAAATTTATGCCTGGGTGGATCCTCAGTATGAGATTTCTCTTATATTATGAGCTTTGTAGGCTCTTCTGGAAGCATAAGCACCATGGAGAGAATGATTTCTCCTGAAAATCTGGTTCTAAGTTCCAGACATGTGCTGTAACACATTCACACTAGGAATCACCCACTTCACTAGACAGAGACTGCCCAATTACTTGTCTGACAGTTTTACAGGTATTAATAGGATTTAGCTCCATCACCACACAGAGCCACTCAGGAGAAATGACTGAGTCACAGATCTTCTCTGGTCCCAGGAATGCCATGTTCAGTGCCAGCCACAAAGCAGAGTTTCAGAAATGCTAGGATATGGGCCGGGAGGGAGCATGACAGGGTCTGTCACTCCATTTGCAGAGAGAAATGATCAAAGCCTGGGGGAGAAGCGACTGCATCAGATGTCAGAGGGGCCTGTGGTGTGGACGTAGCCAGAAGCCAGGTCCTCAGTATCTTACTCCGGCTGCCTGGACCACATTCTTCCAACAACAGTGCTTCCTACTGTGGGTTTTGCGGAATTCTGGCCCCCAGGTGCACCTGGGAGAGGATGTCTAGGCAAAGCTGCCTTTTCTGGTCCCCTCTTGGAGACACACAGTGACATCCCCATATCACAGGCTCTGAGAAGTTATGCAATTCAAACAACAAAACCGGTTGGATTTTGTTTAACTCACTGTCTTCAGAACTCATTCGATCCCAGAAGCCCTTTGTTTCAAGGCACCCCAGCACAAGCTCCTGTAATGCTTTGGGAAACGCTGCTGTGAGGGAGCTGGGTGGAGACACGAGCCAGGGGCTCTAGTCCTGGCCGTAGCACTGACTGGCTTTAGGCAAATTTTCATCCCTGCAGGGTCTTGTTTCTACACCTTTCCTGCCTGCCCTCACTCAGGCAGGCGAGAATTCTACCACTGAATCACCCATGCTGCCCTCACTCAGGAATGTTGCCAACAAGACATAAATGGGGAACATGGCAGGTCTTTAACCAGCCTGAGTTATAACCCTTCCCCTCATGGCCCAAGGCTCACCTCCGCCTTCTGTCCACCCCGAAAGCTGATCCCATCAGAAATGCACGACTGGAATTCGGCAATGGTGTAGTACTCGACCTCAACAGAAGGGGGCTCTGGTGGCTTCGGCAGCTGGAACCCCTAAGGCAGAGAAAACAGTGAGCAAGACCCATCCGGTCAAATCCATAATAGAGGCAACTGTGGCGGTTACACCATCTGGACAGCAGTGGACTCAAGTCTCAGGCTGTCTCCCCAAGAGATCTCTTTCCTGACCAGGCTCTCTAAGAATCAATCCCTAGGAGTCACTTGAATCAATTGTCTGAACTATCAAAATGATCATCTAGTTATAAATTTCCTTCCTTATATCCTTTGGAGTCCAATTTTCAGAAGCTGCAACAGCCAGGTCCCAAAATGAAAGTTAAGAAGCTGAGAAATTGTTGTAAGAAAGCCCATGCACACTGTCACACTGTCCCCTGGAAGTGTAGAGTTACGTCCTTGAGTCTCAGGTGAAGTGCCACCGGGGTGACACCTGGCTGCAGAGGTGGGATGGGTGTAAGGGTCATGGGGTTGGTGAGAAGATCCCTTGGTCTGTCATCATGATGATGTCAAGTGGTCAGGCAAGCACAGAATAAAGCTCCGGATCCTTTGCCCTGGGGTGGGGTGGAACGTGCTGGGAAGCCTAAATGTTTCCTAGAAGCTGGTACATCAGTATCTAAGCCTGACATGTGGGGACGTTGTAAGCCTCAGTCACCCATGTTACAAATGTTTGTTGTGTGTCTACTGGGTGCCAGGCCCTGGTCCAAGGCACCAGGCATCCAAGAGTGAACCAAAAGGACAGCCCCCTTGTCCTTGTGGAGAGGACATTCCAGCTTCAGCCCGTCTCTACTCTGGTGAACACGGACTTGGTGCCTCCCCATTACTCCCAGTATGTCCCGGTATCAGTTAAAACAAAACAATTTTTATTAAAAAGGGAGGCTAGAGAGGGGAAAGCAGCTGTAGTGTAGCAGGAAGACCTCAAAAGACCTCTGCCTTGCAGCTAGACACACATGGGCTCCAGTCCCAGCTCAGCAATTCACCAGCTGCATGGCCCTGTGTAAGGCCCCTGACCTCTCCGAGACTCAGTCTCCTCATCTCTAAAATGGAACTAACAACAGGGTCATGAAGAGGACCACTGAGATAATGAACATATCTTCTGGTCGAGCCAGGGGTATAAGAAGAGCTCCATAAATAGAAGCCAGAGCTGAATCCTCTTCCTGATACACTATACTATTCCTCTTAACCTGTCTCGTCCTTCAAGGCTCAGCATGTTCTAATCCTGCCAGTCACAGCTGGGTCGCCTTGGGTCAGAGTGAGTGAAGGGTGAGGGGAAGCTGGTTTTGAGGGACCAGATATGATCCGGTCAACTTTCCCCACCTGGTGCCTGGCCCTGCAGCCGTGCACGTGTGCAGGTGAGGCCCAGGTCCCAGCCTGGCCGGGACCCCCAGCCAGTGAGAGGCAGCCCTGCCTGGCTGGAACGAACAGCTCTGCCTCAGCAAGCCCTGCTTTTGGGAGGCGTGGAAGGTACTACCCCATTCTTGCCAAAATCAAGTCTGTCTCAAAATAATCAGCTGGGGCTGAGAGAGATGGGAGGAAAGAACCCTCCAATCAGCTGTGTCAAACGCGACAGGGAACAAGACAGGAACTCCACTCAGGCTGATGGCCAAGGCAAGGATGTTCGCATGTCCAGGGGCCGAATCTTCAAAAAATCCCATTTACTGAAGGCCCACTCTTCCAGTGACGGCAGTTGTCCCCCTCTCCCAAGCGGATGTCACTGACCACAGTAAGTGTTGTTAAGCCCAGATGTGACTTCGAATCCTTGTTCATACACAGTGCACAGAGAGCTGACACAGGAAGTGGAAAGCTGATGGCCAGCCCTCTGCACACAGCGTCTCATCTCATCCTTACAGCAGCCCTGGGAGATGGCTGGCACTGTCCTCAACTCATAAATAAGGAAACTGAGGGTTGTGGAGAGCAAACAACTTGCCCAGGCGCTTGCTGTTCCTAAGTGTCAGAAGTGGAATATGAATCCGTGCCTAGCAGGCTCGAAGCCCCGTTCTTTCCACTACATCCCACTGCCCTGGGTAACAGGTTCTCAGTTCTAGGGCTCTCGGCCCGTCACCAGCATCACTGCTGCCCCGAGCCCCAGCACCCTGAGTGCACATCTGCCTCCCTGATGGTCTGGATGCCAGGAAATCACCCACAGGAGCCAGGGTTCCCAGCAGCACTGAGCCTCTTTGAGCTTCAGCATAAGACAGTCCCTGCCATTTACCACCCTTCTCCCCTGAGTCTGAGCCCTGGTCTGCCCTCTGCCCTCCCAGGCTCTGGCATCCACCACAATCCATCAGATACTCCCAAGCAAGGAAGGCAAAGCTGAAAGGCTTCCAGGCTCTCATGGACAGCAGCCCCACTTCCAGCCCCTGGCAATGCCCTGGCCGGACACTCTCGCCAGCCAGTCTAAATGTTTATGTCTGCCAGTGTGGTGGCGGGATGGATTTATTTAGCTTTGGAGTGCAGTGTGTTTTTGATTACAAACTGTCCAGCTAGGCCGCAGAGAGGCTGGGATCCTCAGGCTTCCCTCCCTGCCCCCAGCCCCATGAAGCTGGAAGCCTCAGCCTGGCCCTGGGGAAGCTCTGGGCTAACAGGCTCTGCAGTGGGACAGCCAGTTAATGGGGGCTGCTACCATGCCCCCAACGCCAGAAAAGGAACAAGGGAGAAAAAAAAATCAACACACATACCAGACTGGACTCTCTGCGAGGTGGAGGCCTTGTCCTTAGGTTTGGGGAGCCTAGCAGAAGAAACAGGGCTTCAGAAATCCCAGCCAGACAACAGTGCCTTCCCCACCTCCCCTGGGTGTGGCCGCCTCCTGACCCTCCTGACCCTGGAAAGTTCCTGCTTTTGTCCTGCATTTATGAAGAACTCATGCTCTCAGCCACTACCAGCACTACACGTGGGCTCCTTCAGTGGGAAGCCACAGACCTTTAAGCTTCCTTGGCTATGTTTCAAGGGGATCCATGAACCCTCTAAAATGATGTGCACATTTGAAAATGTATGAACATAGAGAGGCATTTTTCAGGGGAAAGGGGAGATAACTTTATCGGATTCTCAGAGTTAGGAGGAGAGACCATGTCTATTTCTTGTTCCCTACTGAATCCTTAGAAGCTAGCACAGTGCCAGGTAAGAGAGGGCACCCAAAAAACATTTCCCAAGTGATACTCAAAAGGTTTCAGGCACAGAGCTAACTTAACCAAGTTTAGGACTAAACTTAAAAACAGCTTTCCTCCAGATTTTAAGGGAAGCTGGTCTCTCGTAACAGATTAACCCTCAACCATAGGCATCATTGTGCCAGAGATGCTAGAGAATTGGAGGGACCAGCAGCTGGTTTCTCCTGTAAGAAAGGAGACTCATGAAGAATGCCACTTAAAACTGCTCGTGGAAAGATGTACAGTCACCCTTTCAAGTCTTTTAGGTTTCCAGTAACTGGTGGAAGGAGACAGGGAAGGATGGGTAAGGTTCAGCAAGATGTTCCAGCAGCTGTCACTCAGAAGGCAGCCTTGTGTCGAGGGCCCCCACTGCACAGCCCGGGCAACTACACTTCTCTGCAAAGTGACCCTTCCTGGCTCTCTGCTAGAGGAGGAGGGAATGCTACCAGGTTACATACTCATGTAATATCTCTTCGGTAGAGGAGTTGGAGGGAACTGCCTTGTACACTCTTCTAATTAGCATGGGATAAGTTGACAGAGTGAGGCTGGGGTCAAAGGTCTGTCTGCATCTCAGGAAGAAAATGATACAAGGAGCATGCACCCTGCTCTGGCTTTTCTTGTATCTCATGCTCCCTCTCTAAAGAGCAGTGCCGTGAGGACCCAGGGGTCAGAGAGACTCTTACTGATCTGGGCCCTCTGAGGGGCAATCCTGGCCACGGCTGGGGAGCCCTGGGCCAGCTTGGAGACGGTCCTCTCAGGGACACCCAGGGCGCTGCCGTTGGAGGCGTTGCAGAGGATGGGCAGGCTGATCTCCTTCTTGGCAATGGGGGCTTCTGGGCCCTCGCCTTCGGTGGGGGGTGCCTCCTTGTCGCTGGACGCCTTCTTGTTCAGCAGGTTGCTGATCTCCATGATGTTCCCGATGATCTCCACTGGGCCTGCCAGGTTCTTCTTCCGCGCTGGCAGGTCGTCCTTGGCTTTCTTCAGGTACGACGCTGGCGCCCAGCCCTCTTTGCCCAGGTATCTGCGGGGAGGAGTGGGACACAGCGTCCTGAGAGCCCCCCTGCTAGGCCCCAGGCTCTATCTGGCCTTGCCCAGCTGAGCCTTCTCTGCCATGCTCTGCAAGACACTTGGCAAAGCCATGACTCTGGACAGAACTGGAACTGAGGGCAGGTGGAAAAGACACCAGAACACCATTTCTCCCTCTTTACCTCCTGTTCTTTGCCTGATCTCCCTTACTGTGGGTTCCTGTCATTTGCAAAGACAGGTAAGCATGGGACCTTGGGATGAGAAGACTGCACAAATTTGGGGTTGCCCAAAAGGTAGGCTTTGCAATGGCCTGCTACCTCACCACAGCAGAGGGCAATTTTAGAGATAAGAAAAGAGAAGGTGTATAGAGTTAAATGCCCAGTCAAAAAAGGAAGTACATTCAGACAGGTGAAGAGGTAGCAAAAGTGAATTAGGAAACCTGAGTCCTGGTTGACAGTACCTTGGACAAGTCCCTACAAGTCAAGTTTTTCCTCTTCTGCAAAATGCTGGGATAGAGTAGCTGCAAATGTTCATCCAGAAGGACAGACATATTGCGACCAACGAGGAAGATGTCTATGAAGGAAAGTGAGTGAGTGTGGAAAGCACTGGCACTGCTGCAGGAGGAGCAATCGGGTCAAGTTCACAGAACAAGTTCATACACAGATCAATGTTTCAAAGTAGTGGGGTAAGGACGGATTATTCAGTGAGTGATCTGGGGACAACTGAAGATCCAGGTAGGAAAAACAAGTGAAACTCTGGCCTCACAACTGTGTAGCAAAATTAAAAATGCAAGGCATGAGTATCTGCTTCATCTTGGGGGTTGAGAAAATCCTTCTAAATGGAACTCCAAAAGCAGAAACCATAAAGGAAAAGACCAAATAAAGCACATGACTGGATAAAATTAAAGCCTTTGGTATGGCAAAACAAAAACAAAATGGAACAAAACAAAACAAAATGAAAACAAAACCAAAACCCATAAATAAGAGCAAAAGGCAAATGACAGGGCTGACTTAATTTTAGGGGATTTGCTGACTTCTCAAAACAAGCTTTTCCCCTTTCCCTTCATGGTGTTGAGCTTCGACTTAAACTCACTGGGACCTTACTTCCCGGTCCAGTAATTGCTGGCCAATGCCCCCGAGTCTGGAGTGCGATGTCCTCGCCTGCTCCCAGAGCTACATCTACATCTGTCTCTCTGGAATGGCTCCTCTATCCCAGCTGTCAGACAGTCCCCTCTCCCCTGCCTCTCTGGGCTGACCTTGTTTTGGGGGGCTCATCAGGTGGGAGAAAAAGCAACGTGAAAGTTAAAGTTTCTAACGTGTCTGAGTTTTGCTGGAAAGCTCAGGTAGGAGGTGGCTTCTCATGTTCATTTCACATGAATGTGCAGGCAGGCTGATTCAAGCTTCCTCGTTTGGACCCCTGTTTTGGGTCTTGGAAGGCAGGCATCAGTGAAGAAATGGATGGGAGTCAGGGAGCTGGCAGACAGAAGCACAGAATTTCAGGGGTGGATGGAACCAACTAGTAAAGATGCCTAATCTTACATATGAGCCAACAACCAAGGCTCAGACAGGCAAAGCAAGTAGCAGAGGGTCACACAGCTAGCTGTCAGCAGCATCTGGCACTGGTGCCCTTCATCTTGGAGAAAAGATGAAGATGAGCCTGAGGACCACTGCAGGTGCTTTTCTATGAGTGCATGGTGCAGAGATGGGGGGCGGGGCTCACAAGAGTGATGGTCAGGACTGCTCCCATTTCAAACCCCGATGTGCTCCTTTGGTGTTACATGGATAAAATTAGATTCCAGGCAGAGAGATGCAAGGGAATCAGGAGCGGCTGTGTGTGTTTGGGTCCAAGTCTGCTCACATCTGCTTTCCAGCTCTGGAGCACAGAATGACTCCAGAGGGAAGCGAACTGGAAAAGGAGGATGGAGGGAAAGGGAGGGTGTGTGTGGGGGTGGGTGGTTGGGGGGGGAGAAAGACAGGAAATAAGGATCAACACGGAGCCTGGGATGCTGGGAAATGGCATTTTTAAGGGGGTGTCTGGCAGCCTTCTTAAGGTGGAATCTTTTTAGTTGGGTTCTATCAGTTGAAGCTCCTACTGGCTAAAAGGCTAAGCTGTGGGGACAAGAGGTGACTAGAAGAGCCAGCTCAGAGTGCTTCTGTTGGTCATTTTAGAAAATCAAAAAATCCTAGCAGCCTTGTAGATAACCTCTGGGTGAGTGGTTCAGGTTACCAGCCTGCCAGAATGTCCACTGGCCTTCCCACGCAGACTCGTGGTGGCAGGATTTGGGGCTGGGCTCTAGGTTCCATTGCTGAGAGAACACCGAAAGTCTAGGAGCAGTGGATTTGGGCAAACATGTCCAGGTACACAGTCCTGTCCCACCTAACAGGACAGAATGGGACACCTCAGCCCTCCTGACTGCTGTGCATGGAGCCAGGGGCAGGGGTGTCTATGTCCTGCCAGGTCACACTAAGTTTCCATCCCATGTGGCTAACGACCTTCATCCTACCCGTCACCATAAACCAATCTTAATACCCTCACGGTCTGCTGTGGTCTAAGCAAATGTCTTGTGAGTTCCCCTGTCACCTGGGTAGATCCTGTTCCCTCTGACAGCTCAGAACATGCATGTTGCCCACAGTGGTCTGGGGAGGCAGTCCCCACAGCCCACGACAGGGAACTCTGTCATCTAGGTTACAGGCAGAGAAAAGAAACGGCAAAATCATCATAGTTGAGCTGCTTCCAAAGGATCCAAAAACATTTCCTGCGAGCAAGGCCCCCTGGGGGGTGCTGGCTGGTCTGGGAGCCCCAGGGCAGAAGGGTCTGGGGGGAGAGGTGGGTAAAGCCCGCAGGAATTAGTTTGCTTCCAGGAGCGTCAGGAAGCTCCCAACTTCCCTACCCACTCCCCCAAATGGATTTCTCAGCTGGGAAGTGTGACTAGACCCGAGGAGAGGGAGGGGCAGAGCAAGGGGCCTCTGAACCAGGACTGGGATCAGGCCTCACTTCCGCCCCAGCTTTAGCGACCACGTGAGCCAGCCATGCAGAGTGAACGGCCCCAGGCCAGAGCCTGCATCTGGGGCCCCTGGTGCTGAGCCGTGGGCAGCAGGGGCTGTCTGTTGGGACCCCAGCAAGGCTGGTGGACGCCAGCGCTCCAGGCGGCCTGAGATGCAGAGCACGCCAGGCAGCCAAGGCCGGACGCAGAAAACCAAATTCAGATGTGCTGGACCCTCTTGGCAGATGCACGGGAAGGGATTGCACCACTGCCTGCAAGCTGAGCCGGGGCCCCTGTGCCCCACTGGCTGTGGCTCAGGCTTGGCTTTATGTGTCCCGGGAGGGGATCTGCAAGAGGAGTGCTCTCTGTCAGAGCCGTTCAGCTGTGCAGAGCTGAAGCAGCCAAGCAAGGTTGGGAGCTCAAAGCTGCTGTCAGTATCTACCTGCCAGCTGGTGCCCATAGCCACACTGCACCCCAGGGCCCGCCTGGGGGCCAGCCTGCCAGGAGGCCACCTCACTCCTCTGCTGGGGCTCCTACCTGATGTACCACCAGCCCTCCAAATTCTTGCGGATCACCTCCACGGTGACGCCCTTCTCAAAGCCAATCTCGTCCTTGCTTTGGCTGGTGTAAGGCTGCACAGTGACGTACTTCTCCTCTGTGGGTGGTGGTAAGAAGCAAAAAAGCACAATTATTTGAGGCCGGGGTGCAGGTCCTCCTTCCTATCTCCCCCTCCCCCTGACCTGGTCTCACTTAGCTGGTGGCCAAGGTGCACTAGGTCAGCCTCTGGCTTTTCCAGGAAAAGGAAGAAAAGGGACCAGGTCTTACTGCTGCTCTCAGAGCTGGGTAGGGCCACAGGTGGCCCTGCGAGCCACAGGCAGCATGGAGCTGGCTCTCCCAGCCCCCATGATGCCAGGCTACAGGAGCCCGGAGTCCTCAGGGCCCCAGAAACTCCCTGGGAGGAGGCCAGGGCTACAAGGAGCCTGGCCCTCACGGGGCCTGAGTCAGGAAGTCTGAGAACAGACCTGGGTGTCAACTGAGTGTCTGGAGGACCCACAGCGTACCCCTCCTTCCCTGAACCTGCCACGTTCCCATCTGTGCCCCAGAATTGCTCTCCTAGCCCTTCTTTTACCTCAAATCCTTCCATCAATCCTCTGTCAGGCCTTCTGATGGTTCTAGGGGCACCTCAGGGAAGCCTCCCCTGACCACTAATCTGGTCACCTGATCATGGCATCTCCCCAAGACGATTCTAGGAACCCACATTCTATGGGAGTGGTTATGTGTTTTGTTAAGGGTCCAGTGGCTTAGTGAGCAGTGGCCACGCTGAGTGCAGCATAATCAGGCCCGTGCTCATAGGGCCCTGAGAGGGCCACCATGCCTGTGTGCCTTCTAGAGAACAGTGTGCTGAGTAGACCTCACAGCTGAGCAGGACCCCTCAGGGAGCTGCCTGCTCTGATCTCACAGAGGGATTGTGAGCCCTGTCCAGGGTTCCCAGGCACTGGGCAAGAGGCACCTGTGGGAGTAGAGGAAGAACTTGGGTAGCAGGCCTGGGGAGGCTGGGCAACATGGTTCTTCCGGGATCCCTCCAGCCTCTCTCCTGGCAGGGCCCTGTCCTTCCACACGAGTCCTTGCTCAGGCTTCCAGGATGGTGGGTCTGCACCTGCTGGGGACCCACAGCTAGCCGGCCGCAGCCTGCCTGCCTCCTGCAGGGAGAGCCTTCCCAGAGGACCAGCTCAGGAAGGAGCACGTGGCTGCACCCCCACAATCTGGGAGAATGAGCAGCAGAGATAGACAAGGAAACTGACCTCTTGGCATGCCCTTCAGGAGGGTCACCCTTAACCTGTGCTGTCCCCTCTGGCCTGAACACTCTCCGGGGCTGAGACAGCACCTGGGACACAGTAGGAATTCCAAAGGGACTATGGATGCGGAAATAGGCGGGCTGGGCCAGCACACTGAGTGGGAGACTTTGAGCTCAAAATAGCAGGATGCCGGCACAGAACGCCTGGATCTAAGATGCCTGCCCCTTGCCTCCTGGCTCCCATCTGTGACAGTCATCCCCTGGACTCCTCAGCTGGACCCCGACGGGCTGCCTGCCTGAGCCTCAGGCAGCAGGCGGGGAGGGGACAGCTGCCACCCCAACCCCCTGCTCAGGAGGGCCATCTGTTCATCCCTCCCTGGATTATCAGGGTCCTGTCTGTGGCCCTGTGCTGGGAGGAGAGAGCTGCTCCCTTTGGGGTGGAGGTTGCTGCCCTGCCAGGCTGCAAGGACAGAGCTGATGGGCTGCTGGCATAATCCGAAAGTCTGCCAAAAGACAAAAGGTAGGTGATGACCACTGGGAGTCTCCATAATTGAGCATGTTCTTCTCAATGCAAGCCTTTCTCAGCATCAGCTCGCTCCTGGAAGCGTTCAGATTCCAACCCAGCCATGCTGGGGAGAGCTGCCAGGACCGCCTGTGAACCTGGTCCGGCCAGATTCTGACTCGGGCCTTTGAGAAGTTCCGTGTCTGCAGTCCAGCCCCCTGTGCTCCTGCTGTTCCTGGTCTTGCTCCATTTTCCAGTGGGGCACGCTAAATCCTGGCCCAGGCAGTGGCCAGAGGGGCAGTGCCAGGCCCCAGGGATCCAGAGTTCTGAGGCTGGGGTGAGCCTAGCGAGGCCGAGGCGCCACATTTTGCCTTTGTTCAGCTGGGCTATTTTTAAAAGCCTGTGGTTCACACAGGAAGCCATCATTAAAGTTCCCCTAGGTAAAGTTGATTTTGCAGAGAAAAATTGCAGACCCTCTCTGGGGAAGATCAGAGAAGCCCGGCCCTGTCGCATGGCAGAGGACAGGGCCGAGACTGTGCCCTGTGGGCGCACCTCCTCAGCCCCACAGTGTGCGTGTGGAGGGCAGAGTCCTGGGGGCCATGGAAGCGTCCTGCTTTTCCCGGCCCTCCTCGGGTGGGTCAGTTTTACTCAGGAAAGCTGAGCTGTTCCTGCACAGAGCCCTCTTCTTGATGGCCCTGGGGCTGACGTGAACACAGATGTCTAGGACTTCATACTCGCAGGGGGATGTGGTTGGCTAAGAGGCTCATCCTGCCCTGTCACTGCTGGTTTCAGGAGATGAGAATTCAGAGTCCTGGTCCCAGGCAGGGAAACTCTTCCAACTCATCTGTTTGGGGGCTCAGTTTTCTGCCACAGTTGGCTCAGATGACAGAAGTGTGAAGTTAGCTCTAGGTGGACACGTGCCACCGGGGTCTCAGCCTCCAACTCACAGGTTTCCCTGAGGGAAAAGCAGAGCCCCTCCACTGATCTGGGGTCACAAACCCCACCCTGGGACCCAGACAGATGGAAATGGCTGGGGGTGAGGGGGTGCTCTCATTTGCATTGGTTGGGGTCTCTAGAAAGCAGACCCCTTAGGAATCAGAGTTGAGGGGAGAGGCCTGGGAATTCTCAGGGGCACCTTTCAGCTTCTGGGAAGCGCTGAGACCGTGGTCACTCTGATGTGCCCAGGGAGGGCTGACCAGGCTGCCCACCGGGTGGGGTGGGTGGCTGGGGGTAGGTGGACAGGCCTGTTTTGGTTGCGGAGGCAGGGGCTGGAAATCCCTGCAGTTTCCAAACCACAGACGCCTCCTCTTTCCAAACACTTTCCCCTCCGTCAGCAGTCTCCCTGGCTCCCCTCCCAGCCCCTACAACTCACCCAGCCCCACTGCAAGAGGCCTTTTGATTCCAAAGGCCTGGTTGGCTGAGGGAATGGGGGAGTGGAGGCCCCGGGGAAGCACTGCTTTTCTCTTGTCTGGTTATATATGACCCTCTGCCTGCTTCCCCTGTCAGCTCGGCTGTTTGCAGCGAAGTTCCTCCTAGCCAACTTTCTGCAAGTTTTCCTTGGCTGTCTGATTTAACTTCACGATAAGACTGGGAAATGGTGGTGTTTAGGTCTCTGATTTAAGAGAGTGAGAAGTTGTGGGCCTGCACTTGCTTATGTATTTGCATATGTATGGATGGCCGCAGACTTACGCATTTAGGTATCTGTGTCTACTTATATCATTGGACGTTTATAACTGTGAATATATGTGTGGTCTAAGAGTTGAGTGTATGAGAATGCATACGAAGTTATACGTGTACTTGTGGGGTGGCTGGGGCAGTGTACCCATGATGTGCTTGTGTGGAAAATGCGTTTGTGGCTGTGTAAATAACGTAAACATGGAATGGTCTACATGTGGTTGTATACGTGGACTATACATATCTGTAAGTAGCTGTGTGCCTGGGACCTGGATGTGCAGCTGTGGGGGGGCTGGATGGGACAGTGGCTCTCAGGGCTGTGTGCTGATGGTCATTGTGTCTGTGGGTCCATGCGGTTGTGGAGACAGAGTTGTGCTTGGGGATCAGTGGGTGACAGTGTTTGGGGCAGATGTGGGAGGGGATAGGGGAAGGCCAAATCTTCCTCTCTGCTGTTTTTCCAGGCAGTGTTCCATCTCTCCTTTGTTGCGAAGGCTCAGGGCTGTGTCCCCACCTGGTCCCCCAGCAACGCTGTCCCACCCCTCCCACGTCCAGGGTGGCTTTTCACGTGCAGCCTGTTCTTGCTGCTTGCACGATCTGGACCCCTACCCCGCGCCAGCACCCAACCCGCACTCCACCCTCAGGACAAGCTGGGCTCCTCACGGCCAGTGCTCTGAGCCTGATGCTGAGCCAGCCATGGGTGATGGCCACCCCAGAGTCCAGGCTTGCTGCTGCCCAGGGCTTGGGGCAGACACCAAAACAGTCTCACAGTCACTGAGGAACAAGCTTTGGGGATGGAGTGCGAGTCATGGGGCATCCCTGCTATTCTAGAAAAGCCAGCGCATAATACACACCCTTCCAGCTGTGTCGTCACTCCAGAGCACACACCCACTGCTCTCCTCCAGGCAGGAGACATGGGCCACCCACTGGCCTTGGGGCTCTGGAGATGTTTAGAGATTTGTTCAGAGGACCGCCCCTAATTTCCCTACCTCCCAAGCTCCTGGATGTTGGAAAGGTCCTGAACCAGCAAACGTCTTGGTTCCCAACCAGCCTGTGTGGCGGGCCAGGGACCTCCCTGGAATCATCTTGATCAGGCTACTCCTGCAGACATCACAGCTAGTGCTGGGGAGCTGGAGCCCCTGACTGGACCGACACCCTCAGAGTGTGTTGGGGCTGTGCCCTGGGGCCAGGCGGGGTCTGGAGTTTGCTCCCTCTCTAGTTTCCCTGGAGCTGGCTGTGAGCTGGTCCTTCTTCCTACTCTGTCCTCCAGCTTTGGCTGAGGGAGCCCCTTCTCTGAGGAAGGAGGCAATGAAGGGCAGGGGAGAGTGGGACAGTCCAGGCAGAGACTCAGACACGCTCAGTTCTCTTAATCTGCAGTTTCAGGGCATATCTGGTCTTTCTTAGAGTCCAGCTGCCCCCACAATCCTGTCTGAAGTCACATGACCCATGACCCCAGGATGCTGGCAGAAGCCAGAGCCACCCCTAGTGTCATCCCAATTCCCAAGCAGCCCCTGTGCCCACCTCCCCCTCCCCGCCAGCTGCAGTTGGTGAGAGGAAAGAAGTCTGGTTGGTGAACGTGAGTAAGGAGGCCACGAGGCAGAGAGAGACAGAGCGCAGAAAGGAGAGGTGTTGGTGAGCGTGCGCAAAGCGGCAGCTGTGGGTGAGAAGCTGGCTCCCACGGTCACCTCGGCTGTGCTGCCTGTTGACCATCCCGCCCAGGGTCCACCGGCGATCCAGGCGCCGCAGATGGGCCTTGCGTCTCTTGGACACTGGTGTGGGAGGTGGTGATGGAACACGTGGCCGACAGGAACCGGCGGAGAGAATGGAGATGTGGATGAGATGGGAGGGATGGGGAAGGGATGGAGGCAGGGAAGGTTTGCACCCCCAGGTCTTCACCGCCTGGACTGAGCCCCAGTGCACACGCCTCCTGGATGGGCACAGATCGGACCAGTGATACCACTAGTAGGTGGGGAATAACTCAACCAAAGCCAAACCTTGTGGGCAGGTTATGCCCCTGAGCCTGGAAGGGTCTAAGAATTTAGAATCCCAGCACCTGAGAGGGGAAAATAGTCCTTGGCTCCAGCCTGGTGCAAGGACAACCCTCAGTTGCAACCTCAGGGGGAGAACATTGCTCCTGCCACTGCTGGGCAGTGATGGCTTCCAGGAGGGTGTACTCCCTGCCCCACAACCTGCCCCCTGCACCAGGGCTCACATCCATCTGTCCCCCACCCACTCACTCAGCCAGTCCTGCTTGTGAACCTGTCACCATGAGCCAGGCACCACACCTGGAAGAACAAACATGTTCAGGAGAGACGTGGGGTCCCGTCCTTGCAGGGCGTATAGCTCTCACTGTCCTGGGCTTGTTTGTGTCTTTGCTTTTTCAGTCATTCCCATGGATTGAGTCTGTTGAGGGCAAAGTCTTTGCATCTCTGTGTCCCCAGGGCCCAGCACAGGGCCCGGCATGTGGCTGACCCCTCAGACGTTGCTGAGTGAACCACACACAGGGGGACGCCACAGGCCTTGCTCTGTTCCTTCCCCGCATGCCATCCTCCGGCTTTCTGACAGCGGAGGACCTGCCTCCCAGCCTCTCACCACTCCACACCCCTTTCATCTGTACGGGTCCCCTGGCTGCTGTGGACCCACTCCACACACCTCCTGCCTTCCTCTGGGACGCCCAGGTGGAACGGTGGCCCCCACCTCCTGGCACCGCAGGAGGAGGGTGCCAGGCTCCCTCTGGGGGAGGGAAGCCGGCAGTTAGAGTCAAACTCCAGACACACCCGAGCCAAACCCCACCAAGGACTCCTGTGAGGTACCTGCTTTTCTGGAGGGAGAATAGCCTGTTTGACCCGCTTCTTATAAGCAGGAGGCCTGGACAAAAGGTCAGGGGTAAAGATTCAGTCCAGGCCCCACTGCCAGGTTACTATGTCACCCCGGGCAGGCTGCCATCCCTCCCTGAGCCTGTCCCCTCGGTTGTCTTTGGGACTGACATCACCTGCCCCGTGTGAAATGAGACAGGGACTGAGTGAGCTCCGAGGAACAGAGATGAGGTCCTACGTGAAGCCAGACCGGGAGGAACTCGGACAGCTGCCCCCCCCCCCCGGTGTATCCCCCTGGTTTCTCTGTGGGCAGAGGGTCACCTCAGCAGTAAGTGACATCTACCTGGTTTAAATCAGATACCAAGACGATCTCACTGGAGCCTCACAAAAGCTCCGTGCAGTCGGTAATCTCCTCATTTTAGAAATGGGAAATCGGGGCACAGGGATGTGAAGGAACCTCAAGTTACACACCTAAGTATCGAGGCAGCAGTGAATCCAGGTGGTCTGGCCCTGGCGCCCAGATTCTAGACCTTGTGATGTGGTTCTTCCCATCAACCCCATGCCACTGAGTCTGCCAACAGTGGGAAGGCTGGGACGGGGGGGCAGTGCCAATGCCAGTCCACCAGGGACAAAAGGAGGTCATGGCCAGTTGCTGCAAGGCACAGGGGGCAGGCAGAGACCCAGGCTCCAGTCTTGACTCTGCCACTAACTGGCCTGAGGGCTCTGGAGGTGACAATGCTCCAGGCCTCCATTTGCTCACCTCTGAGAGGCGGCAGCTGTGATGGGTCACTAAAGCACCTGCCGTGGTTGGGCCTGGACCCTCCTCAGCATCATGGATGAGAGGGTCTCAGCCTCCACATCTGCCCTCCTACCCTCTACTGGTAACATCTGTGACTTCTACACAGCACGCTTGGCTTCAGGACAAGCACGAACATATGCCAGAATGTCTGATGATAGAGATAAAATGTAACAGCCAGTTGTCTCTTTTCTTTCCAAAACAATGGAACATGATTTGTTAGGGAAGCTTTGATGGGATGAAGCCTTCTAATTACCATCTACAGGGCTCAGGGGAGCTACATGGGATGGCCACAGGGCTGGGGTAGAGGTGGCCAGAGAGAGGACCAGCGTGGGCTGATCTAGCCTCATGGCAGCCAGTGCAGAGACAGACAGATACAGTACAGCTGCTGGGCCTTGGGTGGGGTATGAGCCCTGAACCCTTCTGTAGAGCCGGGCAGAGATGCCCACAATGGATGATGGAGTTCACAGCTGCCCAGATGTTGCCAGGGGTATTGGCACACAGGTCTTACCAAAGTGTGTGGAGGAACCTACTTTAAGGAGGGTCGTGCGTGCGCACACACGCACCTCAGGACGCAGAACCTGCCCTGGTGCCTGACTCTTACTCCATCGAGGTCAAAATTCTCTACAACCTGCTACCGCTTGTTCTGTGCAAAGTACCCAATCCCTCTTCAAACCAGGCTGGCATCAGTGCCCATGTATCTCACAGGCGCTCTCCTGCCCAGGATGTGTCCTGGTCCTCCAGCATCTACTCAATGTCTCTGCTCTGACCATCTGGGCACAGCCTTTCCAGGTGGGGTTCCAATTACACACACACACACACACCCTCCTAGAATTGTTTATAAGCATCACACACACCCCCTCCTAGAATTGCTTATAAGCAAAATGCTTTATGAAGAGGCATGTGGCATGGTGGGAAGACCACTGGCAGAGGAGGCCGACCAGGGCTCAGACATTACGAGGAAGCCTCAGTTCCTGCATCTGGAAACTGGGGTTTGTAACAGAGCCCTCCCTGGGTAACGGTGAGGCATTCATAGCACCAGGCCGGACACTTGGGATTCAGTGAGACCTCAGTATACTCCAGGCATTGTTATTTCTGAAAAGCCCTGGGAAGTCCCTCAGAATGCGGAACTGGGTAGGAGGCAAAGCCTGGTGACTTCGGGGGCTCAGATCCTTCACAGCAGAGGTGTGATGGAACCAGAGATGAGACAGGGTGCAGGTTCAGACCCAGGGCTCAGGGAGCCACCAGGAAGGACCAAGCACATGGATTGAACACGCAAGCCCTTTGTGATGGGGCCTGGTCCCTGGAAACCTGTCATAAGGCAGACATGCACTGCAGGGGCTGTAGCACTGGTCAAGGGACTGAAATAAGGCATTTACATGGCAGGAAGGGTGGGGCTCCAACTGCCTGCAGAGTAACCGACATTTAGGGGAAGGATGAATAAGGAGCTGGCGCTTGGCGGGCTGCTTATTTTGGCCTGGGCAGTGGGGAATGGGGGGAGAGGGAGGGGCGGGCCTGGAGGTGGCCTGAGCCCCGGGTGGCAGGCGGCGATCTCCTGGCTCTGACGTGCCCATTTGGACACTCCCCACTGACCGTTAGGGCAAGCATTCCTGCTGCCAGAATAAAGGAGGCTTAGAAGTCATTAGGAGGAGGCAGCAGGGGAACGCAGTGGCTCAGACTTGCTGGGCTCAGGCAGCCTGCTCTGGGGAATCCCTAAGTCCATGGACAGGCTGACCAGGCCAGTGCTGGCCGGGGGAGGGGAAGGAGTAGGCTCTTGGAAATGCAGTGGAAAAAAAATCCAGAAAAACCTCACTAGGCCAGAGCTAACCAGAGAGGCTGATGGTGCAGGGGTCAGAGCCACCTCTGGGTTCCTGCAACACTGAAAAATGACTCACAGACCTGCCCTGGGCCAGGATAACAGGCACCCAGAAGAGAGGCCTCTGAGCAGACTGCACAGCAGAAGTTGCGCACACGCAGCCCCGTGGGGTCGTCCCTGCCACACAGAGCACAGTGTGGGGTAAGGGAGGCAAAGGTGGATCTCTGTGGAGACCCTCAGAGGAACCCAGGGCTTCTGGGGAAGAGAGAGCTTTAGGGGACTAGCCTTAAGACTGTTCTCCCCAGTCTCTGCCCCCAGATTGCCAAAGCCACACCTAAGGGAATCTCCCCTCTAATTTTCACCCCATGTGGGGCCAGCAAGGACAGATCTGGGATGGGAGGTGAGCTTG